GGGTCAGAGTCCTGGCCATAGACTTGAACCCACAACTTACAGGGCACATGGGAGCCCCAAGGCAGCAGGCTATCTATCTGGAATGCATGTGCTTGACGTAGCTTTCCTCAGGGAAGTCTAGTACCCAGCACACATTTACTCCTGGAACATTTACTTGGTGAGAAAAAGTGCTGCTTGTGGCCTGTTTGTACTGGTGCCTGGGAGGCGAGGGAGGCAGTGGAGACATGCTTCTCATTCCTGCATAAATTCCTCACTGAGAGAGGAAGGGGAGTGGAGAAATTCCTGTAGGGCCTCTAGCTGGCTTGGTGCCACTGAGATTTGCTGGAGGTGCCTTTTGAGGGGTGATCTGGACAATACAAGTAAGGCTAGGCTAAGCTGCTGCTGCTGTGCTTGGTGGGTCTCCAACAGGCAGTCAGCCTCTAGTGATCATCACTGGCACAATGCAGCACTGCAGGCTGCTCTCATTTGGCTGAATTGGTCCTTAGCCTGCCTTTGGGTTGAAGGCATAAGCGTCCTGTCAGGTCTCAGCTGTCTGGGCATTAGGTTTGCTCCATGATCACCGCCAAGTTCAACCTCCCAGCTGGCCAGTTCCTCCTTGGCCGTCTGTGGAAACACCTCCTGCATTCCCAAATGCTTATCCCGCAAAGTGCCATGATGTCACCTATTGATTGGTGTATTTCTGAGTGCTCTCCAGGCCGAGGCATGTAGCTGAGCACTTTTCTCAACATCTGTTGAGAAACACTCTCCAGACAGTGGGACCCCCTTCACAAGGCATGGGTCATGGTGGGGGGTGGACAATTCCTCCCTAGTGCAAAGGGCCCCTTCATGGCAGCAAGCACTTCCCTGAACTCCACAAAGCTGCTCTTGCTTGTGAAGTTCAGTGGCTTGGCATGGGGCACAAACCCTGTGCTTACCTCCAGGGGCTGGGTCACCTCAGGTCATCTCCAGACTTGGATGACAGTGCTGGGCCTTTCTGCTGGGGCGGTAGAGGCTCCTGTGTTTAGCTGTACAGGTCTGGGCTTTGATCCCATCCCAGAAGGTAGAGCTGCACCCCCCAGTGGGGGAACACTGCCTTGCCCCCGCCTCCAGCCTGTCTGTAGCTCTAGAACAGGAG